CACAGAAAGTGCAGAGTACAGTATCAGTACAACCGACCCCATGTACTGGTAAGTGCCGAGCCTAACCTCGACAGAGTAGTGACGAGGAAACCGCATGGCATAAATAATATATATCCTGCAACAGTTTATAATAAGGCAAAAAAGAAGATACGGAATAAAATAGGACATTAACTTGCATTTAATAAATACGGAATCCGGTCGGTCTAACAATACTAAGCTATAACCAATCCTTAAGAGAATTTCAACACAACAATAATGAATCTCCGCAGAAGAAGAATACATATACAATAAATGATGCGGCACGCATCCCGATCCCACCATATAATAAATAACAATATGAGCATTCACCCTTATTACTCCTTGTTGCGGCGCGCAACCCAATCCTACCAGTCCACCCTTAGTACTCCTCAATATATATCACCCTTATTTCTCCTATTGCGGCGCGCAACCCGATCTCACCTGTCCACCCTTATTACTCCTTGTTGCGGTGTGCAACCTGATCCCACTAGACAGTCCCATTTTACCCTTATTCCTTGCGACGTGCAACCCAATCCCAATATATCAGTACCAATCACAAAATGAGAACAAGTATTTCACAATTTAGCTCAAAGCCCTCCACAACATATATACTTCAAATCATAACAACGGGGGGTCTATACCATTATGAAACTTCAATAGTTAATACTATACAGTGAGACCAACCAAAGGGTACCATGAAGCATCAATAAACCAATGTAAACCAACAATGTAATATAATGAAACTACGGAACAATCACTACCTTGTAGAAAAAAATAACATTTAACAAGAAGCAATTAGATATGGAAGCATCAATAAGCAAGTAGCAGTTAAGACAAGAAAGCAATATATAAGGAAACGGGGTAAGTAACAGGCTAAACAGATAATTTGGCGGTGTATAGGTACTCGTTACCACACCTATATGCCACACACATAGAATTTCACATAACAAATAAGTCGGGGATCTGTAGTCCCTCATGTCAAGGTTAGATCAAACACTTACCTCAAGCCAACGAGTATTTAAAAGGTCAATTGCCGCTTTACCTCTCGATTCACCTTCAATCCACTCGTATCTATTCATAATTAACTTAATAACATCAATTAATGCCAAAGAAATCAATTCCAATGCATAATTATAGATTTTCCATTATTTTCCCCAAAAGTCAAAAATCGACCCCGGGCCCGCTTGGTCAAAACCCGAAATTCATACCAAAATCCGATTATCCATTCACCCCCGAGCCCGGATATACAATTGGTTTTGGAATCCGACATCAATTTGAGGTCTAAATCCCCAAATTTTGAAATTCTTAAGTTTTGCCCAAAAATACCCAATTTCCACCATGAAAAACTCTAAATTCTAGGATAAAATTTTGTAAAAAGATGAAATAGATTGAAAGAAATAAGTTAAGAATTATTTACCTATGATTTGGGGCAGAACTTGCCCTAGAAAAATCGTCTCTTGAAGTTTAGGTTTTGAAAAATGGGAGAATGAATGAAACATCCCATCCAAGATCCTTTTACTCAGGTGCAGATGTCGCAATTGCAACCTGAGCTTCACAAATGCGAAGCTCGCAAATGTGAAGGATCCATCGCAAATGCGAAGCCCTTCACAGTCCTACTGCCTTCGCAAATACGAAGAAAGTGTTGCATTTGCGAACACTGTTCTTCGCAAATGCGAGTAGAAGATCGCATTTGAGATCATACCCCTTCCCAGACTCTCTTCGCAATTGCGAAGATATGTTCGCATTTGCAAACTATGCTGGCCCAGGCTTTCTTCGCAACTGCGATAAAAATTTCGCAATTGCAATGCCTGCTTGGTTCGCATTTGCGAAGTCTGAACTCGCAATTGTGAGATCAGAAGCCTGCTACAAATACCAGATACAACAGCAAATTTCTAAGTTCCAAAATCACTCCGTAGCCTATCCAAAACTCACCCGAGTCCTCGGGGCTCAAAACCAAACATACACACAAGTCTAAAAACATCATACGAACCTACTCTCGCGATCAAATCGCCTAAATAATACCTAGAACTACGAATTCAACACCAAAACACATGAAATTTTCAAGATAGTTTCCAAACTTCTATTTTCTCAACCAAAGGTCCGAATCACGTCAAATAAACTCCATTTTCCATCAAATTTCACAGACATTATGTAATTACTATATTAAATCTGTACCGGGCTCCAGGACCAAAATACGGTCCCTATACAAACGAGATCAAACATTTACTAATTTCTCAAAACCTTTGGAATTTCAGTTTAACAATTTTTATCAAAAATTTATTTCTCGGGCTTGGGACTTCGGAATTCGATTCCGGGCATACGTCCAAGTCCCATATTTTACTACGGATCCTCTGGGATCGTCGAAAGATGGGTCCGAACCCGTTTGCTCAAAATATTGACCGAATTCAACTAAAATAATCTTTTAAATGCAAAAATTATTATTTTCTCAAATTCCTACATAAAGACTTTCCAGAAATGCGCCCGGACTATGCACGTACATCGAAGAGAGATAAAATAAGGTTTTTAAGGTCTCAGAACACAAAATCAGATTCTAAAACAGAAGAAAACCTTTTGGGTTATCACAAAAATAGTATTGACTAAAGATTAAATTATGAAATTACATCTAAATAATTCACAATTTTGAGAATATAAATCTCATTGCTTCTTCCCACGCTACTTTGTACTGATAGTGTTAATATCCTAGATACATTGGGTACTTTGGTTTCTTCCTGAACCGTATTTCGCCTTGAATGGAAACCTTTAACGAATAAATTTTTCACATTTTACACAACCAAAATCAGAGAAAAAGAGAATCCACCTAGCTATTTCTTTCCAACATGTATATCAAAATCAAATAAAATACCAGACATACATGTAAAATCAAAAGAATAGAGAAATCAAAATCAAACAAAAGAGAGACAATACTTCAAAGAAATCCAAAAGTGAAAGCCAGAACGCGAAAATATAAAGAAAGTAACAGGGAAGAAAACTTATCAGACTTAACAAATACAACGGAGGCCAAAAGATTGTAGAAATAAAAATCCGTGAAATAAATCTGAACATAGAAAGAGGAAAAAACACAAACATAACTTTCCTTTTTAGTCTATTCCAAAATAAATGATACATTTTTAAATTTAAAAATAATTTAACTTTAAACTCTTTCATTTTATCCATTTACCCTTAATGAGAAGTTTTTATAGCCACACAAATATCATGGCCCCACAAATTTCTTACCCCTTAAACTTTTAACACCACAAGTTTCAAAAGTCTTTTTTTTTTTTTAATCCCGTACCAAATCAAACTATCTCATTTAATATAAAACAGAAGCAATATTTGAAATAGTGAAAGACACGTGGTAAGGTAAAAGCAAAAGACGGACACGTGGTTGACTGTAGGTCCAAATATAGAGTACAATTCATTGAGTTTTGTACTACTTCGGACTAACGTGTTCGTACACATAACTCCAGCTTCTAAATAATAGAAAAATATTACACACTTATTTAATACTTCAACGGTCTCATATTAAATGAGGTAGTTTCTTTTTAGTTTGTTCCAAAACAAATGACATATTTCTAAATTTGAAAATAATTCAACTTTAAACTCTTTTATTTTACTCATTTGCCTTTAATGAGAATCTTTTATAGCCACACAAATGTTATGGCTCCACAAACTTTTTACCCCTTGAGCTTTTAAGACCATAAGTTTCAAAAGTTTTCTTCTTTTTTTTTAAACTCCGCGTCGAGTCAAACTACCTCATATAATATCAAACGGGGAGTATATAATTGATTATGTCTTTAATATACTTCCTCATGCGTGCGAACCTAACCCTTTTTCATGGTCAAGTACGAGACCATATAATCTAAAATTTAAAGGAACATACTTTAAAAGTATACTTCTATTTAGTTAATATGTCTTTAACGAATCTAATGACAATGCCCATATACCCTACCTTGAAGACATCAAATTTCCAAGAGTAATTCAAACTGCTTGATTTTAGCTTGACCTAGTCATTAAGAATTACATGCCCAACTCCAAAATCAGATTCTTTTTTGAAATTTTAGCCTAAGTCCTCAATCCTTTTGGGTTAGGGTTGGGGAGGGGGATATGACCGTATTAATTAGGTTTTATAGGAGGTGACGAAAAATGATAAAAGTACTGTATTGTCGACAAAAATATGTGTTTCAGGAATAAAAATAAAAATGCTACATAAAAACTTAATTAATTTGCTAAATGTATAAGCCCTTAAACTGTAAGGTACCTAGCAATTTCCTTGTTGAACTATATTTCTCGACATTTTCCCTCTCTTCAACTCTTTAAACCGTGTCAAAGCCCCATTAATTTGGCTTTAAATCTCATAAAAGTTGTTGAAGCTATTTTTCCCTCTTTCTTGTTCTTGTTCTTGTTTATTTTTTATATTTTAATTTGGCAGATATCTCTATATTTTTTTAGCATTTTTCTTTTTCCGATTAATTTTCTATTAATGTCTTATATAACTGGCAATTTTATTCGTCCGATCCAACTCTTAAGCTTTGTGCAACACCTTACATTAAGTTGAAGTTAAAACTCTCGCTGATAGTTTTGGAGTTGTTTCTCCTTTCCTTTTTATTCTTCAACTAGTTTTGAGAAAGCCATATCAGCTAGTGTTTGTTATAATTTGGTATGCTTGTAATCAATGGTAGAAGTTGAATTTTCATCAAGTAAATTCAAAAAATAAAAATAAAAAAGTAAAATATGTGACACCTGATATATGTACATGCAACGAAAAAAATAAATTAACCCCCTTATATAATTTTTGGGCGAAGGAGGTTCGGTTGAATCCCCTTCTGGCTACCTAGCTCCGCCCCGCATGTAATGACATTCTAGTACTTTAATAATAATACAAGTATCTTATTTACCAGAAAGGAAAAAAAACAAGATAAAAGTTCTATAAATTAGACAGACATAAACAACACTCACAATGATTTGGATCTCTATGCTTGGTGTTCATAAAGTCTATCAATAGTTCATACAATACTAATTCAGGCAATGATTCAATACAATTACTGTCCGAATTGTAATCAAACAATAAATGACAGCTAAAATATTTCTAACAGACTTCCTTTGGCTCCTCCTTTTGATCTCCAAGAGGAAAAGGAGAATACATGAAAAAGTTGCGGGGGCTAGTGTTGAACAACATCTGTAGATAGCAAGCTAAATATTACCATGTCTCTTGATTTCCCATTTATACTCATGAACTTTCTTAGAACACCTTCTCTCAAGAACCCAACTTTTTCTAGCACTCTTTGTGATCCTTTATTGTCTATATCCACGAACGCCTCAATCCTCTCCAGATTTGACCACTCTGAAAATATTGTAGTTGCCACCATTTTCACTGCTCTTGTCACAATCCCTTTGCCCCAGTACTTGTGAGCCAATTCATATCCAAGTTCAGCTCTACAACTATGACAACCAGAATTTGGCATCACAGATATTTCCCTAATTGCCTTGTTTTTAATGCAGATAGCTCTCGACCATGGATGGTAAATATCATTATTCTTGATATAATCCAAAGCTTGGTCTTTGGAAGTGCAAGTATCCCAGATGCAAAAACGGCTGAATTTTTCATCTGTTGCCCACTCCATGAAATCATCCACATCTGACAGTTCAATTTGCCTGAGAGTGATTTCAGTGAATTCATATTCTCTTTCTTTTCCTTCTGGTTTGTTATCCATATTCTTATTGCTCTTCTCCAGCAAGTACTCTATGTAAAAATGAGAACAATCAAAACGCTTGTAGCAACCAACTTTAATATGGGAATTAGAAAGAAAAAAATGAGAAAGGTCCAGAAACCTATTTCACATATCAAAACTATCACACGGATAACAACCATATATCTAAAATGCTTATGTTACCCTAATGTAAATTTGAAAATTTTACAATAGCCTTTATCAGAGCCTTTTGTTAGTATACTGTATTTGTAAAATAATTCTGGAAATATAAATGAACATAAACAGGAATGAACTACGAAATAACAGAAAACCAATTCGAACCTACTGAATTCACAGTGTTTCCTTAAGGCATTTAATCCCCTCCTAGTACCCAAGGTTATGGATTATTTCCTCCCAGGATAGAACAAATTACACACTGGTGTAGTGGACTTCAAACTCCAGTGTTTCAGCGAACACAAAGTTCGGTAGTAAATCACACTTACTGTTGCTTTGTTTGATGTTTAAACTATGCAGAAGAAGGAGGAGAAACTCAGAAGATCGTATGAAAATTTTGAGCAGAATAGCCTTGTATTTATAGCCAAAGTTGGGCTGAAATCTGAAGAGGTGCAACTCTTCAGAATGACTGTTTCTGCAAAACGGCCACAACATAAATGCCATTACATAAATGGTTGTTTACTATTAACAAATAAATTTGATCCAAAAAGTTAATCGATCAATCGATCAATTGACCGAATCCGAATCCGAGCGACGGCGGCACAAGACTTGCCTTCTTCTCAACTCTTTAAGAGCTAGAAGAAGAGCAATTGCTTATATACCCATAAAAAACCTCTTCCTCTTCCAATATGGGACAATGTCCATTTGCCAAGGAGAGAAACTTAAAATTTCACTAAAAAATTTCATTTCCCTCCATTTCCCATACACCCTCTTTTAAGTACTTAATATATTAATTAAATACATAAAAAACCCAACACCTTTATAAACTCCAAAAAAATATATAGCTCATATATATTTTTTTACATAGAGTAAATTATGTAAAAATATATTACATAGAGTATATTTACATAGAGAAAATATATAGCTCATAAAAATATATTAATTAAATTGAGGCATACCTTCATCAGATTTTGAAACTATGGATGCCGCTAGAATAACCTGCAGAACATATAACAAACATTTTGCACCTTTCAGAATCAATTAATATTCTCTAATTTTTGGAAAAACAATAACAAAGTTAAATTTGAAATATGAAGTTATAAACTTATCGAGCACTATAAGGCAGTGACATATATATTACCACCTTTGCTGCTTAGTAAATTTATTCGGAGCAGATACAAACAATAGGTGATATATCACCTTGCCTCGAACGCAAATTTTGACGCCTTTAGAAATAACATAAAACTTCTCAAACAATTACCTATGAGTATGAACGGTTTCTGCAAAAAACGAAGGTTCGTGTCACGACCCGAATTTCTCACCGTCAGGATCGTGATGACACCTAACATTGAACCCGCTAGACAAGCCAACGTTACTGATCATTTGACCCTTTTACTTTATCCTTTAATAATTTACAAGTTAATATAAGGAAACAGTGAAAACAAAAATGCGGAAGAACAGAATTTAATAGTTTAACTTAGTACAATTACGAAGCCATAATAAAACTCCACCCAGAACTGGTGCCACAATCTCACGGACTATCTATGAATATTACAAATACTGGTCTGAACAAAGAAAATACACATCTGTCTCAGAAATAGATTAAAAACAGAAAGAAGCAAGATAGAAGGGGACGCCAAGGCCTGCGGACACCTGCATGACTACCTCGTGTCTCTACTGGACTGAAGGCAGCACCCTCAATCTATGGTCCGTATAGTCCAGTACCAGGATCTGCATAAAAAGTGTAAAGTGTAGTATCAGCACAACCGACCCTATGTACTGGTAAGTGTCAAGCCTAACCTCGGTGAAGTAGTGACGAAGCTAGGACACAACAAACATCATAACCTGTGCAATTAAACAATATCTAACAAAATAACAATAATAGAAGCTAAACAGAAATTAACGGGAAAGGGGCAACATGCTATGGGGTATACCAGAATAAGGAAACATAGAAGTAACGGAAACGAAACAATTAAGGCACTTGATCCGATAACAACAATTAATCACAGCAAACAGAAAATGAATGCACGACATCACCATTCGTGCTTTTACTCTCAATCCTCACCATGCAATCAATAACGAAAATGTGCACGACATCACCCATCGTGCTTTATCACTCTTCCTCACCATATGAATATTAGAAATGTGCACGGCATCACCCTTCGTGCTTTATCTCTCTTCCTCACCATATGCATCAATATAAATAAAAATGTGCACGACATCACCCTTCGTGCTTTATCACTCTTCCTCACCATATGCATCAATATAAATGTAAATGTGCACGGCATCACCCTTCGTGCCTTATCGCTCTTTTCTCACCCAAACAGCATAAACAACAACATCACAGCAAGGGAATCAATAATAGAAATAAATACATCCTGGCAAGGGAGTCAACTATAACCAATCTCATTCCAACAATTAACTTCACAAAACAAGTCTCAACTTGGGACATTACTCAACAATGGACAAATACCAAGAAAATATCATAGGTCTTTTTCAACATGGAATATCATCAATTTAGGCATAGATAGTGCATAATATGAATCACAATTATCACAGTATAAGACTTACGGGCATGCTCGACACCAACGTATAGATACTCGTCACCATACCTATACGTCGTACACAATACTAACACGTAGCAAATAAGACACAACACCTATTCCCTCAAGCTAAGGTTAGACCAAACACTTACTTCGGATTCCACGGCCAAACTCAAGCCTCAAATACTGCTTTCCCTTTAGATTCCACTTCCAATTCACTTGTAACTAGGCATAATTAACTTAACAACATCAATAAATATTAAAGAATTAAACTCCAATGCTTAATTATAGGTTTTCTATCATTTTTCCCAAAAAGTCAAAAATTGACTCCGGGCCCGCTTGGTCAAAACTCGAGGTTCGGACCAAAACCCGATTACTCATTCGCCCACGAGCCCGAATATGTACTTAGTTTCGGAATCCGACCCCAAATTGAGGTCTAAATCCCCAAGTTTGTAAAATTTCTAATTCTCCTAAAATTCCTAATTTCTACCCTTAAAGAACAAAATTTAGGCCTAGAAATCTAATGGGTGTTTATGGAAAATGAAGGAAATGAGTTTAAGAATACAAACCTATGATTTGGAGATGAAATCCCTCTTCAAAAATTGCCCAAGGTTGGTCTGTGGAAGAAGATATGTTTATGGCATTTTCCCGACTTAGGTTCTGTTTTTAATTCGCTAGATAGGTCTTCTTCGCGTTCGCGAGAAGCCTGTCCCGTTCGCGAAGCATTGGCTAGAAGAGCCTTCACGTTCGTGAGATACTATACGCATTCGTGAAGGTTCACCCCCCGACCTTCACGTTCGTGAGCCATTCTCTGCGTTCGCGTAGAGTATTTCACCCTTCCCAGGTCCCTGCCAAAATGGCCTTCGCGTTCGCGAAGGGTAATTCCCCCAACACTCCACGTTCGCGACCTGTACCTCGCATTCGCGTAGAAGGAAATTTCCCTCAGACTAAGTTACTCTTCGCGTTCGCGAGAGTTCCTTCGTGGACGCGAAGAACAAAGTGTCAGAACAACAGAAGCAGCAATACAACAGAAATTCTTAACTCCAAAACATCCCGAAACTCACCCGAGCCCTCGGTGCTCCAAACCAAACATGCATACAAGTCTAAAAATATCATACGGACTTGTTCATGTGATCAGATCGCCAAAGTAACATCTTAAACAACAAATTTAGCATCAAAATCAATGAAAATCTCAAGAACTTTTAAAGTTTCTATTTTCACAACCGAGGGCCTGAATCACGTCATATGAAGTCCGTTTCTTACCAAATTTTACAAACAACATATATACAACATTAAACCTGTACCGGGCTTCGAAACCAAAATACGGACCCGATACCATCTAAATCAAGCATCTTAAAATTTCAAAAAACTCTTATATTTTCAGTTAAACAATTTTCTTCAAAAATCTATTTCTCGGGCTAGGGACCTCGGAATTCAGTTTCGGGCATACGCTCAAATCTTATATTTTTCTATGGACCCTTCGGGGACCGTCAAATCATGGGTCCAAATCCGTTACCCAAAACATTGACCAAAGTCAACTTAAATTTAAATTTAAAGGCAAAATTGGCATTTTTTTTCAAATTTTTCACATAAGGGCTTTCCAGAAGCGCGCCTGGACTGCGCACGCAAATCAAGGAGAAATAAAATGAGGTCTTGAAGGCCTCGGAACCCCATATTGGGTTCTAAAACATGAGATGACCTTTTGGGTCATCATATTCTCTACCACTAAAACAATCGTTCGTCCTCAAACGGACATAGAAAAGTACCTAAGTCAGGGAAAAAATGGGGATATCGGCTTTGCATATCGGACTCGGACTCCCAGGTCGCTGCCTCAACAGGTTGACCTCTCCAATGCACACGAACTGAAGGGAAATTATTCAATCTCAATTGACGAACCTTCCAGTCTAGAATAGCTACCGACTCCTCCTCATTGGTCAAGTCCTTGTCCTACTAGACAGTGTTGAAGTTTAACACGTGGGATGGATCGCCGTGATACTTCCGAAGCATGGACACATGAAACACTAGATGCACAGCTGATAAACTTGGCGGCAATACAAGTCTGTAAGCCACCTCTCCCACTCTATCAAGGATCTCAAAAGGACCGATGAACCTAGGGCTTAGCTTGCCCTTCTTTCCAAATCTCATCATGCCCTTAATGGGCGACACCCGAAGCAACACTCGCTCTCTGACCATGAATGCCACATCACGAACCTTACGATCGACATAACTCTTCTGCCTGGACTGAGCTGTACGAAGTCTATCCTGAATGATCTTAACCTTCTCCAAGGCATCCTGAACTAAGTCTCTACCCAACAACCGAGCCTCTCCCGACTCAAACCACCCAACTGGCGATCAACACCGTCTACCATATAATGCCTCATAGGGAGCCATCTGGATGCTCGACTGATAGCTGTTGTTGTAGGAAAACTCCGTAAAAGGCAAGAACTGATCCTACGAACCTCCAAAGT